CTGGCATCGATGTCAAGAGGGCATCGATACAGGCATCGATGCTAGCATCGATGCCCCATCGATGCTGGCATCGATGTCAAGAGCTCGTAGCTTCTTCTTGTGTTTTGGCTTTTGGGCTTGGGCCTTTGGCATTTTAAGCTTTAATTCTTCTTTTTAGCTTGGACTTTTGGATGATTTGGCAATTGATTTTCCAATGGGCTTCTTTGTTTCATTTCTTTATTTAATAAAGGGGTTTTTATTGAGAGATGAGAGTTTGAGATTTATTCTTCATTAACCTGCAATTTAAAGATAAAAACAATTATTAGTGAAATATTTATTCATATAAAATAGATAATGAGGGTATAAAATTATAATAAAATATGATTATCAGTTTTAAATAGGTTTTAGAATGTTTTAACAAGGGTTTGTGTGAATATAGCCTTTCTTGTTTATATGCATGATATATTATACTTTTGAAAAACATCGTATCGTAATATTTTGTTTTTAGTGGTTTGTGTGAATCTTTGTGGGTTATGTTTGTATGATACTATGACTTATGGATTTGTATGGTTTATGTAGTCTGTTTTTTAGCTTGGTTTGTATCTTGAACATATATGAGTTTTGGTAAATTCATCATTTTGGCTATGTATGTCATGTTCTTTTTTGATGCCTATGGATACATGTGTGGATGTGGTTGTGAACTATATTTCTTCTCAATTTACTATGATTTCACAGTCCTTATCTGCTTATATATTGTGGCTAAACCATTCTTCAGGCTTTTTAATAGGGGGAGAATCCCTATATTTATTACTCACCAATGCTTATAGGTAGGGGGAGCTTTCGCTCTCTTGTTTTCCCTCTTTTTGATGTTGTCAAAGGGGTAGAAGTATTGTGAGAGAAATGAAATGTTGTGAGTATACACATTATATGCATATGATTTATAATCTATATATTCATGCATATATCTTTTAGAAAATTGTTTGTCATCATCAAAAAGGCCTTCTTGTTTTGATGATGTTTAACAAACAATTTATTACTAATGTTGTTTGTTTAGTATTTGTGTTTTCGTATTTATTCTAGGCAAACAACTAGTTGGAGGATAGATGGAATTGCGCTTCAACGGTCATATCCAATGGAGGATGGAGGAATAGTGGGTGAAGCCAACACAATTTAGTTAAAGATCCAAGTTCAAGCTTCATCTGCTAGTATACCAAGTCAAGCCACATCGAAGATCAAGATTATTTTGGGTATACTTAGTATAGGATAACATTGTGTGTGATTAATTCTATAAGCTCAAGTTTGCACACACAATTCATTTGTGAATTTTCATGAAAATAGGTGTTTTATGCAAATTACATTCAAATATGTTTTGGACTATATCAACCATGTTAACATCATTTGTTAAGTCCATATAAAGGTTACACAAGCTTTCAAAACCTGATTTGATCCAAAATAGCAAAATCTAACATGTTTGAAAACTATGTATTTTAGCATTGTTGAATTTTCCTGTGTTTTCACAAATGGTAAAAGCTATTTGAAAAATTATTTTTCCAACATGTTCATATTCATGTTTATAAACGTTTCCTAAAGTTTTACATTTTTTTGGATTTTATTTGTTATTTTTAACAGAGCCTTGAAATTCAACTTTAAAATTAGTTTAGGCTAAAAACCTGTTATCAGTCGACTGATCAGTCGACTGATGACATCAGTCGACTGATGAGTCAACTGAAGAAAGTGTCTGGAATATTCATTTTGTTCTCTGTTGTGTTTTTGTCGGCTGACCAGTTGACTGACTCTGTCAGTCGACTGAAAATATTTTTCAGTCGACTGATAAGCTCGTTTTTGAATACAACGTTCAGCTTATCAGTCGACTGATGCTTCCCGTCAGTCGACTGACAGGATGTCCAACGGCTAGTTTTGTATAGAATTTATTTCTTGGTTTTAGGAGATTTTTGCTGATTTGCTTCGGTTTTTGGCTGCTGTTTTCTCTTCCTATATAAACCCCTAACTTCTCATCAGCAAGATATATCTTTTGAAGTGAGTTTTAATAAGAGTTTAAAAAGAGTTTTAAAGTTTATTCAAGTGATTAAGTTTGTGTTTACAAGAGGTGGCTTGATCTTTCAATTGGGGAATTCATCCTCAATCATCTCCAACCTCTTTTGTGTTTAATAGAGAAGTTTCTCAAACTCTATTCTCTAGCAATTTGTTTTTGATTTTCATATATCATTATTGCTAGTTTGCTATTTAAGTTTGATTTCCTTTATACTCATTTTATCACACACACACCCTAATTGAGCTTATAGAATTTCATACATCATATTGGGTTGTGGGATTGTGATTTGTGAGATTGAGCCTACATTGAGTTCTCATTCATGTTAGAGAACATTTTATTGTAATTAAGCCTTTTGTGAGTTGCACATTATACTACACTTGGACACCGAGAGAAGTGGTTGGTGAGAGACGGGGCCAGTTCCGAGAAGAGTGACGTTGGTAGTAAAGCCTAGAGGTAGGTTGTAATTCCGAGCACTTGAGGAAGGTGACACAGGCTAGGTCAACACTTAAAGGGTATGAAGTATATTGCTAGTGTGTAAGTTGTGAAGTTTTCATTGAACTAGAAAATCGTATTGTGAGGCGTAAATGTTATTCAGGTAAGAGTAGAAAACCCGGTTATGTTAGTGGAGATCTCCTCGAGGTGAGGAGCGGAGATGTTGGTCGTGGGGACCGAACTCCGTAATTATATCGTTTGTTTGATTGTTTGTCTTTTTGCACACTATCTTCCAGTTTACTTTTGTTTATATTGTATATTCTTGCTTATAACATATTATATATTTATCTTACAAGAATAATTTGTTAATTAGTTTTAATTGGCATAGTATTGTATTAGATTAGAATAAGACCCTAATCACCCCCCCTTTAGGGTCTAACAGGTTCTTCACGTTGGCGATGAAATATCTTCCTCGTATGCTCGCGTCGAGTTTGTTTTCCTTTGATGATTCAAACATCTTGTTTCACTGGAACGTGGTTGATTCCTCTTGATTGATGTCGAGGATAACTTGCGTGGAAAGTTTGAAACTCTGAACGAGTTAAAGAACTTTGAACGAGTTTAGAAGAATTTGTAGAGCAAGTTTTTAACTCTGATCGAGTTGAGAAGAACTCTTAGAAAGAGTTCAAAAAGCCAAGCCGAGTAATCTTAAAGGCTTCAATAAAAGCCTTCCGAGATGATCCAAGAGTTCCTCCAAGTTGATGATCTCCAAAGATCTAGATTAAAGATCCCAAAAAGTCAACCAAAGATCTCTTCTTTGTTGCCAAGCTAAAGGATCCGAACTAAGCTGATTTCCCATCTATTTATAGAGGATTAAGGGGTGTAACCGCCTCCTTAATTCTCTCTATAATAGGGTTGAATGGGGTGTAACCACCCCCTTAATTCGCTCCTAAGTGGGGTAGAAATCCCTCAAATCGTGGGGAGAAAATGGTTTCTGAAACCGTTCAGTTCATGCTTTGAACGAGTCAAACGCCAGTCTGGGCATTCTGATAATGAACTTTGTGTTCTGGACTTGAAACTCAGAGTTGAGGACTGCGTTTAGGCTAAAATGCAGTGGCGGCATCGCTTTTTGGATGTAGAACGCAAAGTTAGGTTCTGCGTTTTGGGTTAAAACGCAGTAATGAAGTCTGCGTTTGGATGTTGCAACGCAAGGAGAACCTTTGTGTTTTGATTTTGAAACGTAGGTCTGACCTCTGTGTTTTGTTCTAGGAACACGGTCACGAGCTCTGCATCTGGACTTGAACGCTGGGATGAACCCTATGTTTTGAACTTGAACGCTGGGGATGAACCCTACATTTTACAACTGAAATGTGGGCATGAGCTCTACGTTTTGACTCTGGAGCACAGAGGCGAGCCTCAGGTGAGCTTGGTGAGCTTCAGGCTAAGTCCAATGTTCTTGTAGACGGACTTCAGAACATAACTTGCTGCGAAGAACAGGTCATAACTTTCAAACCGTAAGTCGGAATCGGACGAATTATATATAAAAATCAACTATCTCGAAGAGATGGAGCCAACCAAACCAACCTCATAGGATTTGATTTGCTCCTGTCCATTTTGCCAAATTCCTTACGGTTTGAGAGATATATGTGCTTTGATTTTAAGAGACCATCAATTTGTAGTCTCTTTTGCTAGAACATTGCAAAGATCGTCATCTTGTAACCTTCGTCTTGGCTCCTTGAAAATGTGAGAGTTGTCAGATTGTAACTCCCGATGTTGATTATGAAGACTATTGAATTAAAGCTTTCATCGGTTGTTATGAAGGTTGTCACATTATAACCTTCATCGATCTACCTAAAAGTTTTCCAATAGTAGCCTTCTAAAAATCGTCAGACTGTAACTTTCATCATCGGTGTTTGATGGGGATAAGCTATCTATAGTCATTTTTAGACAACCTACAGTCGTCAGATCGTAACTCTCGCTGTTAATTGTGAAGAATGCTGAATCAGAGCTTTCATCGGTTATCGTGAAGGCCATCAGATTGTAACATTTCTCGATCTACGTGAAAATCTTCTAATTGTAGTCTTTACTTGTTGTTATGAAAGTCATTTGACTATAACCTTTATTGTTGAGTTGTTGATGTGGAAGTCGTCAGATTGTAACTTTCATCATTGGTGTTTGATGGATCAGCTATCTGTAATAATTATTAAACAACCTACAGAACCCCCTCCAAAGTTTTCAAAAGTTCGTGGTTGACTAGAATGAATTTTTAGAATACTTTGGATCCCCAAATTGGTTTGAGATCTGTTATTGAATGATGGTTCACTATATCTGTTTTGAAGACATCGTGAACTTGGTTGTGAAAATTTGATGTATGTCGTAGTTTTGCTTCCTGTATTTAGCGACTTATTCGCTAACTTCCTTGATATCTCCTTTGGTAAATATTAAACCCACACTCCCGACGAATGCGTAGAAGTAGTTAAGGTAGTTCTGATCTCCTTAAACCAAACAAGATAACTTTTGTGTCTTGATGACAGTGAACTTAGTCAAACAAGCTAAAGCCCAAGTCATCATCGTTAGATCCATTAGTAGGATCGACTTTTTCCTCTTCTTTGGTAGAAGGAATAACAGCATTCTCAGCCAATGCAACAGGGGCGACAACAACATCAAATTTGCTTGGATCTTTGAGATACTCCTTCAACTTGTATGTAGGTGTAAAAAGATTTTTGTAGGTATTGATGAACACCCAAGGCGCAACCCAAATTTGACTAAAATGATCCTTATAGGTATTGATGAACACCCAAGGCGTAGCTGCAAGAGTTGGATAAGAAGGAACCAAGGACAACGAAGCAACCATAGAAACACCAGCTGCAAACTTGTCAACAAGGTCATCCTCAGTGAGGTTAAGCATCTCTGGGCTGAAGACCGATCCATTATCATAGATAGAGAGAACCACAAGCCCGTATGAGAAGGACCTTATCCCAAGTTTGGCAAGGAGGGCAACCTCAGAGGAACCCACTTTGCCTCCTTTCTTGATCAGCTCAACTGGAGTAATGATTTCAACAATATCCTTGTTAATTTTAGTTGGAATGTTAAGCTATTTTAAAGGATGAGTTACACGAAGGATTGAGCTCGATAGTATTGGCGATATCAATTATAACATGTATGTACTCATCCAAGAGGCTGCATAGCTTCTTGTTGTAAATTAGTTTCTTCTCGGCTTTCGTCACCTTGATAGCCATTGCTAACTTCCTCTCCAAATATCTGAAGATGCATAATAGCCCTATTGGTTATGGCAAATTAGCGTATAAGTGGAACCTACATTTTTGAAATTGAAACGCAGGACACAACCCTACATTTTTAGAGTTGAAATGCAGGAGGAAACCCTACGTTTTTTATTATGAGACACAACAATAAGCGTCTGAGAGTTCAATTGACTCAGTGTGAACGCACAGATTGCGCTTGGGTGAGATTTTCTCATCAAATCTCGTCCTGACTTGATAGCTCACCGCTGTCTATAAATAGACAATCAGGGTCAAATCAAAAGTTATTCGACTTTTCGTAACTGTTCATCTTCTCTAGTGAACCCAACAAATATTTTTCGTTTCAATCTCTAGCAAATCTTCTTCAACAGGGTTGGAATGGCTCCTATGAAGAGAACCACTTCTAAATCGAAGATTGCCCTTTCTCATGGTGCACCGTCAGCCAAGGTTGTTGGTGATGCTCAGGCGATCGTGCCGTCATCGCAGGCTCCCTCAGTTAATGGTAAGTTTTGGCGATTATAACTTGTTTCGACAAGTTTTGTACCATTAACGCTGAGTGAACACTCACGTTCCACCATTAAAACACAGAGGTTACCCTCAATGTTTCTTGATTTGGGAAGCATGGTTAACCCTTGCGTTTTAGAACGCGGGTCTGGATCGTACATTTAAAATTTACAATACAGGTCTGGACCCTGCATTAGGAATTTAGAACACAGGTCTGGACCCTGCATTTGGAATTTAGAACACGGGTTTGGACCTTGCGTTTTGAAATTTAGAACACAGGTCTAGACCCTGCGTTTGGAATTTAGAATGCAGGTTTGGACCTTGTGTTTGAAATTTAGAACGTGGATTTGGACCCTGCATTTTGAAATTTAGAACACAGGTCTAGACCCTGCATTTGGAATTTAGAACGCGGGTTTGGACCCAGTGTTTTGAAATTTAGAACACGGGTTTGGACCCTGCGTTTTAAAGTTTAGAACATAGGTCTAGACCCTGCGTTTGGAATTTAGAACGATGGTTTGGACCCTACGTTTTGAATTTTAGAACACATGCTTAGACCCTGTGTTTGGAATTAAGTTTTTTCGGATTTATCATTAATTTTGCACTAATTGGTTATCTCTTCCATTTGTAGTGCGCTATTACAGTGAGCCTCTTTTCTTCAATCATTACTTCAGGCATGCAATAGATGCAGAGAAAAATAAACTCTTTAGTTTCCATTTAGAGTATCCAATATTCTAGGATATTAATAAAGAATGGGCAAAACTCATCACTTAGGCTTTCCCTGAAACCCTCAGATCCCTGGTTACAGATGCAAAGTTTGAGATAGCAGAGCGTAAAGTTTTAAGAAAACCAGCCTTCCTTTTTAGAGATTCTATTGATATGGACCCGAAGCGGATGTTTGATAGAAATTACAAGTGACTGAGGACCGTCAATGATCGTCGCCTTTTTTTGCCAAATACGGAGTGGATGTGGCTGATTTCTTACTATCAGTGTGCTTCTGTCCCGTGATCCATGGATTTGGACCTCATCCAAGAATAGGGTGGTGTCGCTACTAAACACCTTACCTATCGCTGTATTCACCCGGCTAGCGTCAATCAATTTGTGACTTTGAAGCCTGGTTCGTTTAAGAAGGAGCACCCTATTGGTGAATCTACTAAACTGGCGAATACGTTCGTCAGAAAGTTTACATCTGTACAGGGAGAATTCCCCACCCAAGACTTTAGGGCTCCGACATGGGTACATTCTAGTGAGACAGAATGGTAGGCCCGGATGGTAAATTTTATTCCGGAGGAATTAGAAGAGCCCCATAGAATTTCTGACCCGAGAACCCCGATATTGGCTATTCGATATAGGATTTCTCCGAACAACAGTGGTATTTTTGCCATGCTGGAATTCTACAATCCTCATACCAGCACCTTTTTCACTCCTGTTGGTGAATTAGGTTTTACACTCCACGAGATGTTTGAGGTCTCAGGGCTATCCTTTGGAGGATTGCCCTACGAAGAGTTTATTCCTTGGAGTAAAGAGTTAGAGATTTCGAAAAATGGCACTCCAGCAATCTATGGCACTTATTGGGAGTTAATGTGTCATTTCCAAATATGTTCATAGACTACCAGTAAGCGAGCGAGTCGTGTCAAACAAGGATAATGGGCTGAGTATCTCTTTCAAAACTTGTATGATAAAGATACAGAAGTAAGTCACTTGGCTGCCAGTACACTGGAAGAAATCATTGAACGTATCAACGATGCAACCTCCCACTACACTTGTAAGGCAGAGGAAGATGTTTTCTCGGCATACACTATGTTTGAAAGTTTTCACTATCAGGCCGAGATCCTAATTTTCGACATGGCCTTGTTTGCTGGTTTTCTCACACTTTGGTTGAAATGTTATGTAGTACCAACCAGGCCCATGGATACCATTACAGTGAAAGTATTATATCTAGCTATTCTTCTGGCTTATAGGCGAACTCTGAACCTCCTGTCGGCCATGATATGTTATCTGCAGAGTGACCATCAGGAGTTAACCTCTGAACTTATTACGGTTAAGAAGTGGAATCAGATGGGAAGACCATTATCCAGACTCCTACCCCTCGGGTGCCGATGCCATATATTTACTTAGTATCTTGGTTCGTGCTGAACTGCCCTTTCCTGATGTCCACTCCTGCATCGAATAATACTTCAGCCCCTATCGTCCAACAGTTAGAGACTGCTCGATGGGTTGGTTAGTATCAAGTTAAGTTCTGGGAGATATTAAGACGGGACTATAACTATGTGATAGCTTGTAACTTTCCCACTTTTGAAGGCGGTGCATATGGAGAAATGCATTAGGATACTTTAGGGCATAAATCTTTTACCACTCTTAGCAGAGGCACTTTCTGGTGGCTTATAAACATCCGTTCGGGCTACCTTGTCTTTCAGCAAAGGAAGAAGTGCTTCATTGAACCATATCAGCCTTATCGCTTCTCCCGACAATTCGGCTATGATTAGATTTATATCAGTAACCCCAATCCGACACTTGCATATACAAACAATATGTACGAAGGGGAAAGAGCCTGGTATTACTCAGTGGTAGGCTGCACAGGGGCAACATTTAAATTGCCAAACAAAGTGCCCAACGCTCATACTTCTTTGAGCTTTTGTACTTGGTATCAGGCTGCTTCACAAATCCCCGAGTACAAATTTTATATCTCTTGCTTGAAAGCTATCTGAAAATGGTATGATACAAAGAGGAGTTCCAAAAAGTCTCGCGTCATAGGAGTTAGCGAGTACTTATCATATGATAAAGTAATTGCTGAGGAGTAAAAGCAACAAGCACAAAAAGGGGTTAAAGTAGAAGAACATAGGGTGCCTGCAACTCATAAGATGGAACCTTCAAGGGTGGAAACTCGTGGCAAGAAGGCCAAGGGGAAACAAGCTCTTGATCCAACTGAAAAGGGTGAATATGAGAAGCGATCTCATCGCAAGTTAACACTCGAGTCTCTCACTTCCAAACTTATGCAAGATGCCCATAAAGCATGGCATGAAGAGGTAGAAGAACGAGAGTCGACTGCTATGGAGCTCTCGCATCAATCTGGGCTTCTTTTATTTGGCCTAGCTCTATGAGGTCCCGCCTCTGTTGTTTATCCACCGGATGAAGAAGAAGGTGTGGATGAATCGCTTGTAGGACATGCAGAATCTATCCCTACAATGGACCCTGCAGCTCCAGTTGAAGAGGGTAGGTCTCCTGTAAGTGAACCTATAGTGGCCAAATCTAAAAGACTCAGTGGAAGCCCATCTCCCTCTGCTTCAGCATTAATACCATCAATGGGGGACATAAGACTCAGCCCTACCACGGGAATCCTATCCAAGCCAACTATCACTGTGGACTCACCTGAACATTCGACAGTAAGTGATGAGGAGAAAGTGGATTATGACAGTTCTCCAGGTGGTGATGAGGTTCGTGATGATACAGGAGATTACAACATCGGTGATGACACCGACGATGACATCAATGAAGAAGACTCTTTGGACGAATACGCTGATTTTAATGATATGCCAATGGCTACTTCGGATAAAGCATCCACTTACATCCCTATCTCTTCCCTAGGTAAGCATTGTTCATTTTAGACTTCCCCAAGAGTTATCTTTTGTATTCTAATAATATATGTTATTATTTTTATTATTTTTTATTATTTTTATGTAGGGTTGCCAGCTCCGATGACTGAGGAGGCTACAATCGTAACTTCGCCACCAAAACAGTTGCCACCTACATCAATAACTACTCCTCCTCCAGTGTAGCCATCTTGTCATGCCCCGCTTCCCAAAATACCCAGGGAATCAGAACATGAACAAGTCCGCGACGTATTAAATTGAGAAGAAATACATACTATCATTTTATTCCTTCTCAATCCAATACGCTAAGCATCAAATATATAAATCTCAATCACAGGTCCCCGATCACAATAGTAAGAATATAAAGATAACCCAAAATAAGAAATAGACATATCATCAACAGATCATCCCAGACATAAAATTTGGGTTCAACATACCCTTACTACATCAACAGTTCAACTAGGAAATAATAAATACATAGTCCATAATAAATGGAAATATTAACAAAACAACTAAATCTGTCATCAACTAAAGAAAAATACTATAAAAGAGTTCTAGTGTTCAACAGCTACTACATAAAGAAAAACACGTCTAGACTTCAGTTTGTTCTTCCACTCCATCAGAAGGACACTCTGGCTGGGCATACACCGGCTCTACTGCATCATCAAACTGGACATGTTCATCCTCTAAGTCTAACGCACACCAGAGAAAACAGGTGCACGTCAGCGTGCATGGCACACGGCAAGATCTCACATGAACCAATAAAACGGTCTAACGACCCATGCTATGACAATAATAATATTAACAAGATAGACAATGATACATGCAACTAAAAATCTAATGGTAACATACAGCTATGGGAATACAGTAACTGGGTCGAATACTAAC